CAAGAGCAAAAGCAGCAGCCAAAGGCAAAAGACAATTGCAACAAAACAGAGTTTCGATCAGGCGACAAAAGTGACGAAAACATTCTTTATTTAGGGGGAATCCTCGAATATTTGTTGCCTTTGGTTTGAAAAGTATTTGTTTACCTCGTTACTATTTTTATAAGAAATAGGATAACTTTGTATGTAAATAGGTACATCCTATAGCAGCCAAAAATCAATCGAATCGTGGAACAAAATACACATATTTGAATACCTAATTCATAGGAGCTAAATTTCAAATTTCTCAAGTTTCGCTGTTTTCTAGTAACTTGCGAATTTTTTCAGTCTACAATACTAGTTTTTTGCCTAATTTAAACGCATCCATTCTGTTGACGTTATACTATACTATAGGTAGATCAAGTGGTCAAACAAAACATACTACATTTTTTGCCAAAGTTTGCATTCAATCAAATTTTAAAAACAAACCATTTACTTTCAAAAGGCTGCCAATATTAGAGATTTTAAAAATCAAGGACTAATCAATTTTTTTTTCAATTCCTCAATTGACCATTAGCAAACCAATAGAATATAGTTTTCTTTAAACTTCGTTCGAGAATTTTCCACGGTGTTGCTGTTTAGCGACCGTTTTGTCTCCTGCACCGAAGAGCACTTTTCAGTTCTCAACTGCCGGATGCTTGGGGCTTTAGCTTTTTCTCGCTGCCCGACGACGACAACGAAATATATATGGAGGGTTAAAAAATAACAAAAGGAAAAACCACACACTCGACGAAGAAGAAGAAGAGCAAAGGCAATGGCAAAACAAAATGTTGCAGACTCAGAAGCGGCCGAAAGACGACAAAAAAATTATTTCGTTGTTCATAAATCAGTTGCAATTAAAATTAACTGGGGGAAGAATGCAAGGCTTATTAGATTTGTGGTCAGCGGCATTTCAGACACTCGCTGTCGACGTCACAGTCGGCGTCGCAGTCGCCAGTTGCCGGCACGCGAGTGCAATTTTTTTTTTATTCGGGGTGGGGCGCGGACTGCACTTGTGTTAAAATTACTATTGCATTCTTGCACATAATTGACACACAACAACAAAAAATAAGAAAAAAAAAATACGTTTCACATTAGGGCTTTTGTATTTTTTTTCTGTACACACACGCGGCATTTGTTTAATAACAATCAAAGGGGAGAAAGCAGAACCATAATTGCCGGTTGTTGTCATTATAACAATTTTATTTGTAGTTCTACAAGTGCCGCATTTATTTATTAACACGAACACGAGGAGTACTCGTTACGTATACGCAATGTGGCCGTTGTTTTGTTATTCCACCCTGCACATCATGTTGATGACGTACGAACATCAACATTAGCATCATTGTTAGTCACGTAATTATCTGCATCTGCATCTGCATCATCATCATCATCGTTTTTATTTGTTGTTTTGAGCAGTAGCAACACACACTCATTATCACGAACACGCGCAGCGCACGTTACGTATACGCAACGTTGCTTGGCACAGCATCTTTAGCAACGCCGTTGCTTTTTACCCACGAATTCGAGCGATTCTGAGGCACCGCCGTCGCCGTCGCAGTGGCAGTCTCAGTCTCTCAGTTGCTCCGTTTCACGGCTTCTCAGTCTCAGTCTCCGTTGCCGTCGATGTCTAAATGCGAACTAAAAATCGGAGAAAACACGGCGGAAAAGGCAATCCGGTCCGGTCCGTCCGGGAGCAAGAATAAAAAGGCACAAGAACCGAGAATCGAGAACGGAGAACGGAGCATCGAGAACCACGAGAAGAAGAGCCGGCACAAAGCGGACGAAACGCGGCCAAAAAGGCAAACGCCAGCCAAATCCTTTTTAGCTCTCTCGTTGGCTTGTTATCGCCGCATTGGTAACAGAGACGCAGCATCCAAGGAAAGGCGAGCTTCAGGCGGCTTGAGTTCGAGTTCTCTTTCCGCCTCTCTTTCGCTCTTTGGCATACACACAAGTGCAGTCTGTCAGTGTGTGTGTGTGTGTGTGTGTGTGTGTGTGCTGCAATGAGGGTGAGCCCGATGTTGCTGGATGTAAACGGTGCATCGGCATCTTGTACACCTTGCAGCACAAGATGTAAGGAATATAAGGCAGATAAATTCGCGTAAATGAAATGCCTTAATTTGCCAAGCATAGATTTTCAAATCCAACCATATTATAAGTTAACTGCACCTATGTTAGGGTTAAAATACAATTAGAAATCGAATCATTACCGCCTAAAAATGTATCAACAATCACACATTTTAATATATAAATGACTTTCTAATTCTAAGCAAACATTAAGACTCTATATACTTTAAATGGTACGAATCGTTAACACGTATCAAAAACTTTGCCCGTATACAAAAAAAAATCGTTAAAATAAAGCGAATAAATTTAACGGATGTTATTTTTGAGACTATAATATTTGTTTTGTGTCTGTAAATGTTATTGATCAACAGCGCACATTTAAATCTCAATATTATAATTGACGTTTAAATCCATCTCAAAGACTTTTAAGGCAATGAAAAAATCTGATTTTTGCGCAGTTGAAAAGCCAGAGGAAACCAGTGACAGGTCCACCCTGGCGTGCACTGTGTTGCGTGTGTGTATGTCAGCACGGATGAACGAACGTCAAATAGAACATGTGCTAACTGTCAGCACAGCGCAAAGTACAAACACTCACGCGGACATGAATGAAGGTGGTTGGAAGGATATAGATATAGATATAGATGTAGATGTGAATGAGGATGATGATGAGGATGAGAATGAGGATGTGAATATGAATCTGAATGAAAACCCCCAGCTTTCCCGCTCACCCAGTTCCGCGGACAGGGGGATAGCCTACTTAAAGGATGCACCCGACAAAGGCGACGACGTCGACGTCGACGGCGAACACTGTGGATAATTAATGAGTTTGGAAAGAGTCCGCCTAGAATATGAATCAATGGGGTGGAATAAATGAGTTGGCACTGAACGATCCTGCAAATGAGAAAGATGCTAAGCGAATCAATCTTCTCAACTTGATTGTTTACTTAATTTGCAAACGTAAAACAGGATGTTCCTAGACCCTTTTTAAACGCAAATCGACCACTGTCTCACCTAGTCTTGGAAATAAATAGTGTGAGTCATTCTTACTAAAGAATTTGTTTTTACTTAATTTCACTTAATTGTCGAAACCAGTGTGATTACAAATAGCGCAGGCAATTAACTACTTGAATCGTATAAATTGCTATTGAACAACAGAAGAGTAAGCTTAAAAAAAAACTGAGACTTATAGAGATTTGGTGTCACCTACAATGATTATTATGTCTATTTATAACTTTTTGTTGCGTCAACAAAGTGAATTTACCCAATCGATTGACACGAAGCGATTACATTCCGATCATATTCATTTAAATCAATAAGCTACGTTTTTGGCGGCGAAAGGCAACAGCCAGAGAACACGTCCCATTCCCACTGATTTTCATCTCATGTGAGAGAAATGCGAAATAAAAAACATGCTGCCGGCTTTTAGGCGTTTAAGCGCAACTTTTGTAATATGCATTTTGCCTCCACCATTTCTGTGTGTGTGTGTGTGTGTGATACGATTGTGTGTGTGTGTCTGTGTCTGTGTAAGTCGAAAGGTAAATGACATCAATGGAGGTTGGCTGGCTCCTCTCAGTCGCTGCCTGCAGGTTTGCTCGCTTTTTGCTTGCATTTCGTTTCCGTTTGCTGCTTGCCTGCTTACAGTTTCCGACTTTGGCCAGCACTAACACAGGCGCTTACAATACACACCGAAACACACAAACACACAAACACTCAAACACACATACAGACATGAGGCTTATTGGGAGCGCGCCTAAGTGTATACTGTAAAAAATGAAGACAATTTAAAGGATGCGACCGCAAAAGTTCCAGGTTCGAGCCCCATATTAATACTTTCTCTTTTTTTAATTTTACAGCTGCAAAGGAATAACTTTCTAATCGTATTATTTGAATAGTCTAATATAGAAAAAGGGTGTGAAATATCATCATGGGATATTAATTTTTACTGTGTATGCATTGCTTTTTGCCACCGACCGCAGAAGGTGAAAGATGCACGAAGGATATAAAGCGAGGAATAGCAGAAGGAAGGAAGCCAAAGGGACATCGACAATCCGCACACATCTTTGCGCCTATTTGATAACTAATCCCAACCACAAGCTGCTTCCCTCAAAACCCCACCCAAACATCATTTAAGGGCTGAAAACTTTTTTCGGTCGAATCTAAATTGTTCGCCCATTGTTTGGCAATAAAAGAAATCGAAGACAATTTTGAAAGAACTAAAGGGTAGCTATCCTTATCTTGGGTAAAAGAAATTGAGTTAGATACCGAAAATATAGCGCAAGTGCAACGTGAATTGAACGCTTTTCATGTAATATTGATCACTTGCTAACTGCAGGATTAAGTTTTGATTAGAATACACTTAAATAAAGAAGATCCCTTAGATTGACAACTACGTTTGCAATGTTACTATTAATAATACATTGGTCTAGCCATTTCTTAATGTTATGAAATAAATAACAAGATTTTCAAAATACGAAAAATGTGACAAATAATACCAAATCATGATATATATATTTAAATGATAAATTAAAGTTATGGACCCATCCTAATTTCTTGTTTAAGATGAAAATACATTTAATCGATCTCTGGGTATTTTTCTTATTCAGGTTAACACTGGACAAAAGTAAAAAATATGATGGAATATTATTATGAATGCAAACCTAATAATTATTTGCGTCTCCACGAAATGATGTACCCTCGAATATATCTTTTATCAGAATATTATATATTATAAAAAAATATTTTGTTATCCCGTGAAATGTAATGTTACAAGACTTATATATATTTTAAGATGAAAAAGCGGAAGAGTGTTTCCAATCTCGCTTCTATTTTAACTCAAAAGTAGGAACTATTTGACTAGATATGTATGTACTATATACTATGTAAATCAGAAAGATAAATGTGTATAAACGAGCACTTACCACTGGGATCGTGGTGCGGGGGCCCAACTCCTGGTCCCGGCTGCTGGTGTTGATGCTGGTGCTGGTGATGGTGCAGCGGACTGGGGGCACAGAAGGCGCTCGACCCACCGCCCAATGTGGGTGGCGGCATGCCCACACTCGACGGCGGCGGATATGCACTGGCGCGATACGACGGCGGTGGCGATCCCACGTCGCAGCGGTCGGGTCCGGCACCGGGATTGGGAACGGGAACGGGCAGGGAGAGGGGAACGGGAACGGGAACCGGCACCGGAACGGGTGCTCCCGGCGGCGGTCCATAGTGGCCCTGGGGCGGTGGCGGCGGACCTCCGTAGTGATGTGGTGGCGGCGGACCGCCATGGTACTCGGCCGCCTGCTGGTAGTGATGGGCGTGAGCCGCGTGGGCGGCGTACTGGTGCTGGTGGTGCATGTGCAGCACGCCTCCGCCGCCCGGAGCCAGCTGGTGGGCGTGGTAGGCGGCGGCGGCCGCGGCAGCTGCGGCTGCAGCAGCGTACGAGGGCGGCGGCGGACCATGGTGGTCCGGCAGGGCGTGCTCCGTGTGCAGGCCGAGATCGGGGGCGTGGTACATCCCGGCGCTGAGGTGCTCGCCGGGCAGCAGGACATGCGGACCCGCTGGCACTGCATGGACAGGCAGCGGCGGCGAGCTGTGGGCTGATGGGCAATAGGAGACGAGGCATTAAAGCGAGGCAAAGATTATAAAATCGAAAATGTCTATTAAAAAACATTTTATAAGTAGAGAAAAAAAAAAAAAAAACCTTTGGCAACATATGGCTGTGGATTTATATTTATATTGCAAGAACCATAATGTCATTTATTTAATTATTATTTCGCCAATGGATATCCATAACTGGCTACCTATAAATAGCCTATTACCACAACTTATAAGGCAGATCTAGATTTCAGTCAGATGTTTGCTACGCAAAGACGAAGCTATCTAAATAATCCTTAAAATTAGATTTTGTTTTTTCATAGGAAGTTAAAAATCGGATATGCTTGGATTCGATGGCTATATCAAATAGTTGCCATACCATAAGCCCATTAAAATGGGTTATTTTCGTACATTTTCATTAACGTAAACTACTAAACTTCTTTTAAAAATCTAAATTGTATTATTAGTATTATTGTTAAATACATTTTAGTACTTTTTTTTAAAAAAACTAGATTTTTATCAATGGAATTATAAATATATGAACTTTTGACAAAAATAGCTGACAAAATAGCTCAAAATGTGTGATTAGATTTGTACTGACAAAAAGAAAACGGTTGTTTTTCGGGTTATAAAAAATCAAATTTTTATCGAAAAAAATAGAAACTAAAAAAAAGTGTACCAACATTTTTAAGATATCGGTGCCGTAGCTTTCAAATTATTTTGGTCACCACATACCATTTTATTTAGGGATTTTTTGAGGTCTTCAATATTTAAGAATTAATTTATGGCGGTAAGGACTTTAATGTCAGCAAATTTTTTAAACTTTATCGAGCTCTAGAATTTATATTAATGAACCACTAACCTTATAAGATGTTTAGGGGAGTTAAATAACGTTATATTTCTAGTAAAATAGACCTAAGTTGCTTAATCAGAACTGGAAAAACTTTGAATGCCATTATCTAAATCAGGTGTTCAACTGCACTGGAAAATCAAGGTTTGATCGCTGGAGGATTTGGTCGATTTAAATTTGTTAACCAGTGGCATTTTACTTTGGTCTGGTAAATTGATTACTGACTAAACCGGACAACGGGTATAAATCTATGTGGTATTCTAACCTGATCCTGGCAAGCATGAAATGGGTGTTTTTCGCTCACCTTCGCTTAGTCCGGAACTAGCACCCGGCGGCAGCATGCTGGAGAGGGCACTGAGCGGCGTGTAGGACTTGGGCGGCTCCACGGAGCCTGGCCGCAGGACGCGCTCCTCGGTGACGCTCGACTGGACGCGGTACTGCATCTTGCAGTAGGCCTCCTGGGCGGCCCCGTTGCTGGCGTTCACGTAGACGCCGGTGATGGTCACGTCCGTGTCCTGGACAATGACCACCGACGAGGAGGTGGGCCGACTGCAGTCCTTGGCATCCTTGGTGCTGGCCGTCGAATCGCGATAGCCGGTGGTGGTTATGGTCGTGTCCGTGTTCGTCTCCTTGGTCTCCTTCGAGTACTTGGAGTCGTTGCTCTCCTCGATGATCGAATGGCTGGACATCTTGCCGGCAGTGGAGTCCTTTAGCTCCATCTCGCGCTCCCTCTTCCGCTCGCACTCCCTTTCCCGCTCGCGTATCGATTCCTTTGGCTCTTTTTTGATGTGGATCAGTTCGGTTTTGATTGGAACCGACGTTGTGGCCTTGCTGCTGCTCGTATTGGTGGTGGTGGTGGTGTTGGTAGTGGTGGTGGTGGGCATGGTGTCCAGCTCGTCGTAGCTCTCGAAGCTGCTGCAATCGCTGGCCAAGTTCTTGTCCAGGTGCCGCTCCACCTCGTAGGTGGCGGCCACAATTGCGCTGGCATTCAGACTGGCCATTCGCTTTCTGGCCAGGATGCCCTTGTAGTCGCCGATCAGCTCTTCGGTGAAGGCGGTCTTGCGCTTCTTGGGCAACTGCTTGGGCGGCTTGGGCTTTTCCCGCTCCCGCTCCCGCTCCTTCTCCCTGGCCCCGCCCTCCTCATCGCTGTCCTCGATCTGCGCCAGCTTCTTCTTACGCTTGGCCTCGGCCGCCTCGCTGGCGGCAGTCTTCTTGGGCGGCGCCTTCTTGGGCAGCTTCTTCTTTTTGACCGGCGGCAGGGTCTGCTGAAGCTGCAGTTCCTCCGTCTCGCTGTCGCTGTCGAACTCCCAGTGCTTGCCCACACCGCGGCCACCGGGCACATAGCGCAGTTCGCGGCGCGGCTCCGCCTCCTTGGGCGCCGGAGCACTCGGCTGGGCGGCCGAGGCAGCGGCGGACGTGTGCGGCGGTGTCACCGAACCCTTATCCCTGTCCGGCGACTCCTTGTGGTTGTCATCGTCGCTCCCGTCCAGCGTGCGGATGCGCGGCGGCTGCTGCGTGGCCTTGGACAGACCCAGTTCGTGGGCAGTGCGCGATTCGTTCTCGTACAGGCACTGCACCTTGGCCAGCGCATTTAGCGAGGCCATCCGGTGGCGCTTGGGCCCGGTGTAGGCACTCAGTTTCCGCTCGTCCTCGGAGGAGCTGCTGTCCGCGGAACTGGCGCTGGCAGGTGGCTCCTTTGTCGCAGCGGCCTTGCCCTTGGCCACCGCCTTCTTCTTGCGCATAGAAGTCGTGGGCGTGGGCGTGGGAGTGGGTAGCTTGCGCTTGGCTTGCTTTTTGCCCGACGACGTGGAGGCCGGAGTGCTGGTGATCTTGGCTGCTGGTTCGGACTGCTGTGCATTGCTCAAGGGATCCACTTCCTTCTCCTTGAACTTCACCTTCACCTCCTTCTCTTCCTTTTTGACCAAGGGCTGCTCCTCCTCGTCTGGCTGACTTCTGGCCTTCTCCTGTTTCTCCTGCTTTTCCTGCTTCTCCTGCTTTTCCTGCTTTTCCTGCTTCTCCTTCTTTTCCAGCTTTTCCTGCTTCTCGCGCTCGAACAGCTTGAGTGGCTTGTTATCCTCATCGGAGAATTCGCGCAGCTCCTTGAGCGACGGCAGCACCATCTTGATAGGCTCCTCGTCCTCCGATCCCGACTTGAAGTCGTATATATCCTTGGCTCCGCTCCAGGAGGAAGTCGGTGCCTTCTGGTGCAGCGCCTGCTGCACTCGACCCTTCGATCCCGCCGAGGTCTTGGTGTACTTCACCTTGGGTCGCTGTTTGGCTGCACCTGCTGCCGTTGAGTTTGATGGTGATGGTGGTGGCGGTGGAGCCGGATGTCCTGCCTCCGTGGCATTGGATGTGATTGTCGGTGTGGATGTGGGTGTGGGAGTGGGAGTGGGAGTGCGTGTAGCCGTTGGCGTTGGTGTGACAGCAGGTGTGGGCGTTGGTGTAGCCGTAGGCGTGGCCGTTGGCATGCTGACAATCTCCTCCAGCTCCATTTGCACGGATTCCGTATTGGAGTCCGGCAGACGGGAAGCGCTCTTCAGCGTGTTGGCATCTTGACCTGGCGTTGCCTTCTTCGGCTTAACCATTTTGGCCGGCTTGGGTGGTGGTGGCTCCTTCTTCGGCTGCTCTGCCTGCGTCGGTTTCTTGCCGGGATTCTTGGCGGCCGCCTGCTTGGAAGTGGCGCAGCTTGTACCCACCAAAGTTGTCGTTGCAGCTGGCGTTTGTGGCGATGACGACGGCGATGGATCCACCTTTGTCTTTTTGACCTGCTGCACTGTCTTTTTGGGCACCTTGGAAGCCAGAGATTCTTCGGCGGCAGCAGCGGATGGGGTAATCTCCTGCTCCGACTTGGCCTTGTCCTTATCGGGCACCTTCTCGCCAGACTTCTCGACCACAATCTTCTCCTTAACTGGCTCCGGGGAGGGACGCACACGCTTCACAGCCGGCAGCTTGCCGGGATTCAGGCTGGATATCACCTTGACCGCCGCTGCCCGCGACTTGGTCTTGACATTCTCCGAAATGGAGGACTTGAGCACGCCCTCGTTGAGCCGCTCCTCGCCGCTGGGCAGCAGGTTGTCGAACCCATGGATCTTAATGTCCAGGCTCTTGAGCATTTTGTTAATGGCTCGCGCCTTGCCATCCTCGTGTCGCTCCTCGGGCGACAGTTTCAAGCTGTTGGATGTGCTGGCGGTGGCGGTGGCGGCTGTGATAGTGGAGGAGGCGGAGGCGGAGGCGGAGGTTGATGCCGAGGCCGAGGCAGTTGATGAGGCTGTGGGTTTTCCGCCTCCACATCCAGTGGATGTTTCTGGGCCAGTGACTGATCCCGATGACCCCGCTGTGGGATCCTTGGCTGGCTTCTTGGCTGCCGAATCCGACTTGCTGCTTGACTTTTTCTCCTCTGCTTCATCGCCGGCAGCGCTGGAGGTTTTCGCCTGCTTCCCGGGCCGTTTCTTGCCCTGCGTTGAGGACGCCACTGCAGCGGCCGCTGCTGCTGCCGCCGCTGCCGCAGTCGCCGTCGAGCGCTGGACACGTTCGGCGGCATTGGAACGCTTCTTCGAGACCATTTTAAAGGGCTGGATGATGGCGAGAAAGACAAAAGAGAAGCAAAGCAGGGCGGTTAACAAAAATCGTTGATAGACAGTGACTAAGAAGGATTGCAGGGAGTGGAATGACGGGAGTGTCCCACCTTCACTTTCAGCACTTCACTTTCGTATATATACCCCCTCCCCCCGTCGCCTGCCTTTTTTCGTAAGCATTTTGTTTCTAATTCGGTTCAAGTGGTCGCACGTGACAAACAATGAAAACGCCAGATACAACAAAGGTTGAGCAGTGTCTGGGGATGCACCCAACTCGAAAGGCTCTGTCGGAACAGTTCTCCGTATAGAGCTCAAGAAATTGTCGAAGATTTTAATTATTTCTTTAAAACTATATATTATAAACACTGTGCAATTTAGATTTCAGATTCTAAAAATGCTCAAGTACGCGTTTGGATTTTATAGCAACATAAATATTTGTAGAAAAACGGCTATATATCTTTGACATTTATAATCACGCTAATGGGAACTTAAGAATTTAGTAGTCCATTTTTTTTAGTTGTGAATAATTTTAATTTAAAACCAAAATTCAGATATCACACAAAAACACCTCTTAGTGAGGTAAGAAATTCGTAACTTTATGGTGCGATTCAAGATACAAAATAACGCATACAATTTTATGACGAAAAATTATGAGCTTGATTTGAAAAATATGTTTTTATATCCTTGCCTATATTTTTGATCACCATAACTAGTCGAGTTTATATAACCATGTTCGTCTATTTCTAAACCGTTTGTGAGCTCAGTATTAAAGTTAAAAAAAATTATTCTGCAAAAAAGAGCCTTTTAATAAGCATTAGCTTTTATTCTTATCTGTTTTTTGTCGATCTTATTTTTTCAAAATATTAAATTAAATATTTTTTCTTCAGTTCTTCTATGGCACCGACGGATTATTTGGTTGCGTTTTATTATTTTTGTTTAACCAAAATAAACAAATGGCAGAGTGGAAATGTGTGTAAAATGATTTTAAATTCATTTTAATCTATCTTGTGTTTTATTTTTTGGTTTCCCTTTATAGGTTATAGTGACAACAAAAAAAGGAAGGAACTTTTCAATAATTGAATTGGACAACGAATCTTAAGGTTGGTCAGGTAATTGGATTAATCAGTTACCAAAATTACGTTTAGAATAAATTGATTTTAACAATATGCTAAAGGAAAGTCTGTCAGGACCACTAAAACTAACAATGATTTTAAAGAGAATTGCCTTAAAATACGGAAAGTATAATTTGTCTGATAGTAAGGTAAAAGCTTACAGAATGTAGCAGATGGATCAAGGCCAACGTGACTTTTAAATGTTATAGAAATTTGAATTATTTTACCAGGAGCGGCATACTGCACGTTTTTTATTTTACCTGAAAAATAACTATATATTTGATTAAATAAATACACTTCCTAAATTGCTCTTTATTGGCACACTGCAAAACATAATGCCTGCAGTCGTAAAAAATCGTAAGGTAAGGCGTTTTCAAATAATCTGGTTTGGCTGAAATAAAAAGTTAAAAATTTTTCAAAAGCTGCAATCGTCTCTTAAAAAGATAAATGGTTCAACCTTAAAGTTTTTCCTTTATTTAAATTATGATAGGTAGCCCAAAAGTTTTCAAAAATTAAAATAAATCAAAAAAGTTCTTATTTTGCGTTTGAAAAAATTCAAAATTTGTTACATTTAAAGTTTTCTCTTATTTTTTTAAATATTAATAGTTTATGCATTCTTAGCGAGTGTTCACTGTGTTCCCTTCCTCTTTCCCGATCAGTTTTTGTTTTTTTTTTGGGTACCGTTAGAAAGCCAAAGTCACTCACCTCTCGCTCGCACCTTTAGTGGCGCTCGCTTGCCGTTCCACTCGCTCTCACTGCGCTGCGTCCGATGGTCCGCTGCAACTGCAACAACAACAACTGCAACGGGTACTGCAACTGGAAGGGCAACAACAACAACCACGGGAAGAGTGGCCAGCGGAGGGCACGTAGTTCCGTTGGCCGCCCATCTGCCGACCTTTAATTACGGGCTTCGATGATTTTGTATTTGTTTTTGTCGTTTGTTTTTTGGGTCCGGCTCTTATATTGTTGTTGCTTCGCCACTTTATGGTGGGATTTGTTGTTTTTGCCGATCGTTTTCACTCGAAATTTATGCGGCGCCTAAATATGTTTGTGCATGTGAGGGGGTGGGGAAAAACATAAACATAAACATTTTATACACATTTCGTCACAAACTGAGAGGCGCAGACACGCACACACACACGCACATGTACAAACGGTGTATCAACAAAAGTAAAGCATCTCTCTCTTTCTCGCTGTATCGCACGAACACACACAAAGTCGAATTTTTCGGAGTTTTCATTAATGAGTTCTTTGGGGTTTTTGCAACCGATGCTATCTATGTTTAAGTTATGTTACAAGAAAACGAAAAACAGTTACGCACCCTCCCCCTCTCGCGGACACTCACGTACACATACACACACCCACCTTACACTTCACAAACACACACACACTTGACGTGCGAAAACATGATGCAAACTTTTCTTATTGGACACCAATTATGTTTTCCATCTGAAATTGAATTCATTGTGCCAACATGGACATTGCATTTAGACGCGAGCTGGGCTCACTCAAATAAATCACAAGAAAAAAAATAAATAACCCAACGCACATTACATTATTAATACATATGTAAGTTGGAGATGGGAACTCCCTGATAGTCGTCAAAGTTAATAATCTGCCACTTTTATCGTCTATTGACTTATGATGTATCGATAGTTAGCCAGGTCAAACACCACACCAGGCAAGTGCACAATTTGTGAGTTATCAAATATCAGCACCACTGTCAACCACATGGTTGCTGTCTATACTTTTCAATAGCTGGTGGCCGGACTGCCAGACTGTCGTAAATAGATAATAATAGGTTTTGATAAATAACAGATGCCATTAAATATATTTCTCTTCGAGCTCTGACAAGTGCTACGAATATAAGTGTAAGCTTGTAGCGCTGGAATATTAACTATAATAAAATTAAATTTAAGTCCGTGACATTATTATTTTGCATTCTGAATAGATATAGAAATTTAAATCAGCTGGCTTAATAATGCCAATTAAAGCCATTTCGATATCGATAGCACACATGCATGTCGGTGTGAACGGTGCTTTATTTGCTATCGGCATTTGTAAGATTCGATAGGCAACGTGCCGGTAACTTTTAGCCCTTCTCAATTTCCATTTCCCCTATTTATTCGATCCGATATCATAATATGAACGATTTGAATTTGCGCGTGGCCGCCTTGAAGCTCTGCGCGCATCCCAAGCGATTTGCGGAGCTGCGCGACTCGTTGGTTCCGCTGCCCAACAGCTGGAATGCCGGTGAGTGGAGGTCTTTCGCTTTGCATCCTCCAAGTGCCACATGTTGATGCCCCCTTCCGCCTTGCCAATCGTTTGCAGCACCCCATGGATTTGTGCGGCAGTTCGCTGAGGCCAGGAGCAGTGCCGAGCAGGTCCTGGTGGTCAAGGACATCTTCTACAGGGACCACGATATGGAGCAGGATCAGGAGCAGGAGCAGGAGCAGCACGATGTAAGGCACTTCCTGGCCGATCTGCTGCTGGCCAGTCCACTGAAGCATGCCGTGCGCAACCAGCTGACCAAGTACGGTGAGCCCCCGCTCTATGCAACCATCCGATTCAAACCCCCTTCAGACTCTTCTCGGACAACGGGCTGGCCAAACAGGATGGTACACAGCGACTGCACCGGCACTCGAAGGATCTGCTCTTGGAGGCACTGCAGCAGTCGCTCGGCTCAATGGCCACAAATCTGGAGGGGATGGCCAGCCACGACCGCACCAACGACACCATCGCCTCCGCCAACGCCTGCCTGCAGAACTTCCCCTTCGGCCGCGAGGCACTGGGCCGCCAGGTGCTCCTCTTCGCGCCGCTCCTGCCCACCGCCTTGGAGCGCTACTGGACGGACATCAGGTGGGTTCCCAAGGGGCCTTCTTAATCTCTAGAGTTGAGTTTTTTTCATCGCTAATCCAAATGAAAATTAATTAAGAGCTAACATACACAATATCAAATCAAAGATCTCTAAATCTCTAGAGATTTCGGGTGAACAATAGCATAAACTCCCAAAATCAAATGTAAGGAAACTATTCTTAAAGCCAGGAAATCACTTAAATTAAGTCAAGCCTACAATAATTACATTACATTACATTACATAATTAAATCAAGTCAAGCCTACAATAATTACATTGAGTTTTTTTTTCATCGCTTATCTAAATAAAATTGGTTTCGGGGCTAAGAACTATCAAAAGAATGTAAAATCTCTATAGATTATCAGCCAACCACATAATAAAACCCCTTTAATCGTACATACAACAATCGATTATGATATAAATTTAAGAACTTGAAGTTATTAAAGACATGTTTTATATTAAAGTTATTAAACTTAGTATATATATATTTTTTTTTTGATTTCTTGTTCTAATTGTTTAAAATACAAGTAATTTTCGAATTTTAAATGAAAAGATCCAAGATAAAACTTACTAAAGACTGCCATATTAAAAATTTGGATAAAATGTTAATTTCTGATTTTTATTTCTGTCAACAATAACTGCTTAACTACAAAAAAATTATAGTTAACCGAAGTAGAAGTGTTGGGAAAGGTACTAGTTTTTGGATATAGGTTAAGTACAAGGTTTTTGCGGAAATAAGTACTTACGTACTTGGTACTAAAATTCAAATCTTCTAGTAGCAGTAAAATTATGATTTTTTTGCGAAATGAACTTTTATTTTTTAAATTAACCCTTAACCTTTAGTTAAAACTAAGATCTACAAAAACAGTGGTTAGAGCTATAGCTGCAAAAAGGCCTTCAGCTCATAATTTTGCAAAATTAATAAAATATTGAATTTAGTGGTTTAAAAACAAAAATAAATACAAATATTTAAGTAACTAAATACCCAACATAGCTTATTGTCAAAATAAATACAAGGTAAAAGGGCCATGTATTTATTACCTAGGTAAGGTATAAGGTACCAAATAAGTGTACCTATTTAAGTGCCTAGGTACAAGTATATAGACACACCACAACACAGTTAGTGATTTTAAAATTCTAGAGATTAATTAGGCAATTCCGTTTCGTATGCAACAACCTAAATTGATGAAACCCTCTCTCTCCTCCACAGTGATCCCTCGCTGGAACTGTCGCCAACGCGCCGCAACGAGCTCTACCTGTACGTGCAGAACGCGCTGCGATTTCTGGTGAGCCTGCTGTCCGAGTGGAGCGATCGGTTGCACCAAGGCGGTGGCCAGCAGCTGCTCAGCTCCGCGGATGTGGTGGCCCGGCAGGTGGCTCGCCACGTGGACACGCCGTGGGATGTGCGCTCCATTGCCGGCCTGCTGATCGGTCACCTGGCGCGCTTCTCCGGGGCATTCGTGGAGTACCTGGCAGAGTGCTCGAGGCCACGGACGGGGGAACAGGATCTGCCTGTCCAGACGGCCGCCCTGCTCGTCCTGCGGCGCTCGGACTACGCGGATCATGCCCCCCAGGCGCTGGCCATTCTCCGGATGATCCTGACCGTCGGCCAGCGGGAGGGCAGCGTGAGCAACCTGCTTGTCTTCCTCTCCAAGCACCTCTTCATCTACTCCAAGTCGCTGGCCGAACTTCGCTCCTTCCTGCCCGCCAACCATGTGCTCGTCTACCAGCAGATCCTCGCGGAGCTGCAGTTGTTCGCCCTTCAGAACATTTCCAGTGCCACGGACTCGGTGCGTCACATGAGCAGCGCCCTGCTGCGCCAGGTGCTACAGCACGCGCAGGCCAGCGGCCAGGAGGAGCTCTTCCACGTGGTCTACGGCCAGTTCGAGGCTCGGTCCGCGGCCCTCAGTGCCAGCTGCCTGGCAATGGAGCAGCTGGTCGCCGTCGCCGGAGTGAGCCAATGCATCCAACACTGCCCTTCGCTCTTCGGCGTCATCTTCCCGCGCTTCCTGGGCTGCGAGGACAGCGTGGATGCCCTGTTCAAAGGCAAGTGTTCCACAAATTTATAAAAAAAAAACTTACAGAGCATAAACAGTTGCGGTCAGAATAATAGTAGTTTTTTAGCTTAAAGAAATTGCAATCAAAAATAGTTTGGTATCAACTTGTAAAAAATGTTTTTATGTTTTTGTGAAGCTAAAACATAACGAAAAACATCACGCACTTTTATGAAAGGTAATATTTACAATATTTTTAAAGAAGAGTACAAAATTATTATTTTTTATTTATAAAATCAATTGGCTATTAAAAACTATTTAATTTCAATACAAAGTGCAAATGAACAATGATTTTTGTTTATTTCCTCACTACTATTATTTTGACCGCAGGTGTAAGTTCTTGATCAGATTTACCAGGAAGTAGAAAAAACTAGGGACTTGACTTTGTTGTCTTAAAACATATATAATTCAAGACAGTCGCTTTTTTTTTACCAGCGAGGTATACATATGTAAAAATCGGATTACTTATGATATATAAAAACGGTTTATGGGAACGATCGAAAGATTCTGCGAAAAATCGACGTAGTTTCCATGTTTTTAACATATATCCATTAAAATCAAACAATCAAAGTCTATAAATGTATTTTTTTCACCTGTTTCTACTGAGAATTTATTAAATATAATAAAAGTACCTAATATTTTAAGGTCAAACAATAATCATTGTTAAGAACGATCAATACATAACATTTAAAAATTAATTTTATGAAAATGAACGTTAACGTTTCGCTAAACTCGGTGCTTAAGCAGGTTCTCAATAAAGTCGTAGATTTTAGTGATTATCTCGAAAACCAACGATTGCCGAAACCCAATCTTAGCACCAATTTTAGGTGCTTATCAAAGAGCTTTAAGTTTAAGATTAAAGATGTGGCACATGTCTCTGGGAATGTCGTATTCGACAATCAGTGAATTCCCCATATATATTTTATTTTTGTTGTCGCCCACTTATATATTTTTTCAACACCAATTCAGCCATCTCTTTAGTCCTGTTCTAATCGTTCTCCCATTTGTGTGATCCTCTTTTTTTTGTAGTCATGATGGTGTCCGCCCACAAGACGCAGCCGCTGGCCGAGTGGCAGGACCTGTGGTTCGGCCAGCTGCTGGCGGCCACCCAGGTGGCGGACAAGCGGCGCTCGGTCATCGAGCAGCTGCTCACGCAGGCGGTGCAGCTGGAGCCGCAGACGCTGGCCCACCTGCTGCTGCTGCGGGGCGACGCTCGTCTGCCGCTGAGCAGCAAGCTGGCGGCGATCCTCAGCGTGCGGCAGCTGAGCGAGCGGCGGCGCCACGAGTTGCTGCACGATCTGCGGCCGGAGTTGGAGCAGGCCCTTCTCGGCCTGGACGACCATGCGCGCCTTCTCGCACTGCGCTTCGTGGTGGAGACGTCGCGACCCAGCGATCCCTTGACTTCAGCCGAAGTGGAGGCCATCGGACTCTATCTGCGCCACAATGCCAACAATCCGAGTGCCCATCTGCGCCAGCTGAGCTACGCCCTGCTACAGAAGGCTCTGCGCAGGATCCATCTGGGTCTGGCCGCCCATCAGAAGCGACCAACGGTTGAGGGTCAGCAGATGGTCAGCCTGCTCCAACGACTCAGTGGCCAATTGTGGCGGAATCTCTTTCCCACAGCCAACTATGGACGCCGCTGGCTGTCGCTGCACTTGCTCCACGCCTGCGTGGATCTCAGTCGCAAGGTACAGCTGGATGGGGAGCTGCTGCTGCTGCTGCCGCCGCCGAAGGCGTTGACCAATCTGGAGCACTGCCTGGGCGACAGCTACGAGCAGAACAAAGTACTGGCCGCCCAGCTGCTGGAATCGCTGCAAACCCGCTGCCGTTTTCAGCCGCACGAGATGATGGAACTGCTGCTGTCGCTGCGGCCACCGGACTCGGCCACCGGTGCCTTCCAGCTGCAGGTCTACTGTCGGGCCAAAGAGGTGGAGTATCCATTGCCCAACGGGGATGCCATGGCCGCCACGGATTACGAGAGCAGAACCCACACGGCACTGCAGTGGTGTCTGGAGCAGCTGAGAGCCGGCTTGGCCCTGGCCCAACGTGATCTGGCCGAGGCGGCCAAGCTGAATCCCATGTACGGCCTGCTCTTCGCCAGCCGTCATCTGATGCAGCAACTCAATCTGCCGGAACTGGCCGCCAGAAGGGAGCCCGCCTGGAGGCGATACGTAGAGGAGCTGGTCACCATCTGCCTGGCGGTCAGTCGGGTTGTGCTGCCCGTGGTTAGTAGTGCCTCGCCCGAGGGCCATCTGCCTGCCGCCACCAGCGATCAGGAGACGGATCAACCAGTGGCCAATGTGCTCAGCCGACGGCTGGGCAGCGAGGCACTGCAGCAGGTGCGCACCACGCCGCAGATGGTGTTGCTCTGCGCCTGGCGCAGCATCAAGGAAGTCTGCCTGATCCTCGGCGAGCTGGTGCAACGGGCGCCGCTGGAAGCGGAGGAGGAGCAGCAGCAGCATCAGAAGGAGGAGGGGCACTACCTGCTCAGTAATGTCCAGCTGGATGAAATCGGTGAGCATTTCCTGCAGCTGCTGGCCGAGACGAAGCATCGCGGCGCCTTCGAACAGGCCTACGTGGGATTCACGATGCTGTGCCGGCGCTTCTGGCACAGCGATGCAGTGCGTCTCAACCAGCTGCCCGGCCAGTGGGTGGGCGAGGCCATGGCCATGGTCAGCGGTCAGGAGGCGATGGTGATGCATCGCCTCTGCTCCACACGTCGCAGTGCCGGCATGCCCTTCATGCTGCAGGCCCTCATCTGCACGGAACTCAAACTGGGCACCCATGCCACGCTCCATCGCTGCATGCTGCAGCTGCTGCAGGTGTGCGAGGAGCGGAGGAGTAAGGGACCTGCAGGCATCACCGCACGCAGCCACGCCCTCAATATCCTGCGCGCCCTCTTCCGGTGCAGCGAACTGGCCGAACTCGTCACCGAGTTCATGGCCCGCGGCATCCAGTGTGCCCTCGATGGCCTGCTCCTCGCCGAGGAGTGGGCGGAGCGCAACTGCGCCACCCTTCTTCTGGCCGCCCTCATCGTTCGCGTCTTCGGCGTGGAACGGGCACGGCTGGAGAGCGGCGAGCTGCACGTGCGCAACCGGATGACGGGGCGCATCTTCTTCACGCGGTATCCGCAGCTCTTCGACTATTTCCATGCCGCCCTGCAGCGCGAGTCGGAGCAGATGGACGACTCCATGGAGGGCTCCATGGAGGGCTCCAAGGAGGGCGGCAAGCGGCGGCAGGCGGTCCAGCTGGAGGCCATGCTGCTCATGCTCAGCCGCCTGTATCCATCCTCGCTGGAGGGAGCCGAATCGACGCTGAATGTAAGTGTTGTTGGGTTTATTTTTAATCGCTAACTTAACACTTTTAAAAGGTGTCATAACGCCCACTTTCTAAGTATGACACTAGGTATTTTTAAAAGTGTCATAAAAAAGCAATCATTACAACCCACTTCCTAAGTATAACACCCCAGGGCACTATATCCTTTTTAGTAGTGTCATAACGCCCCCAATTTCCTAAGCCATAAAAAAAGCATTGAGATCACCGATAAGAAAAGCAATTTACAAGTTTTCCAAACAAGTAAAAAACTTCTGAAAACGTTTCAAGTACATCAAGAATCAATAAGATTATCGTTAAGACAATTATTATATGTCTTGTGTTGTTATTTTTTTGATCTTCTAAGTTAGTTGATCTGATCACTGATCTTTTTACATAGTGCTTGCAAAATGAAAGCTACTCAAAATTTAGAACTATTCTCTACTACTCTGCCCATAATGCACACAAATAGTTGAAAATTATTTACAAGTTTTCCAATAATTTTGTAATAAAATGTATGAACATGTAGATCACTAAATTTGTCCGTGTATCTGCCCGTCTGTCAGTCCGTATGAATTTCGAGATCTGGGAAAATAGTTGCCAACCCAGCGCAAGTTAATTTGAAAATTCGGCTACGCCCACAAATCGAAAATTGAGCGCTATATGTTTATTTGGTCAGTATCATTTGACACACCAAAAATGATCCAAATCTAAGCATTATTTTAGAAGTTATTAGGAAATATTTAATTATGACGTCACTGCGTTTGCGAAAAACGGTGTTCCTATATTTGAGAGAGCGGAAGAGAGCGGAAGAGAGCGGAAGAGAGCGGAGGAACTGGGAGTGCTGCTCGCTCTTAGCTCGTCGTAGTGACCCTGCGGTACGGTAGATGGCGCCACCTAAAGCTCGACTGTTTTCTAATATTGAGATATTGTATAATATTGTGGTTACATTATAAATTCTTAGCTTATTTTTTATTGTTTAGTTTGCTATTTATATTGTAATCATTATGTTCGACTTATGTAAGAATGATACACTTATGTTAATGTTATTTTCGGTGGAGTTCGAATACCCAGTGGAAAGGATTGAGGCATTTAAAAGGTATTAATCTTTGTGGGGTAAAATCAGGACATGAGATCATGATATGGACTGTGTGGAGAGGTTTTAATCGAGTCAACTTGGTATGACCAAGTCTAAATCCTTTTAATACAACCAGATGTGGGGTTTAGGTAGAAATGATGTGGGTTCCAAACGTGAAAACCAGAATAATAAAGTTTCAAGGAGGTATTTTAAATTGGGAAATATCTTAAACATTGTAATTTGGAGTGAAAATAAGGAGAGATTTAAATTAAATTGCTTGCAGTTTTCTTTCATTTTTTTTTTGGAAAAGTGTTTGGCTATAAGGTTGATAAGGTTGATAAGGTTGATAAGGTTTATAATAATATAACGTTTGTGTTTTCCTGCAGCTGAGCGAGTTTGTGCCCTTCTTGATCAAGATCTGCCGCTCGCACGATCTGATGACCCGCGAAAGAGCTGCCTTGGTGGTGGCCAACTTTGTCAGCCAGGAGCAGGCGCTGGCCGAGATCAGGCGCATCGTGGTGGAGCTCAAGGCGCTGCAGCTGAGATTTGAGGTGAGAATATGCTGCTCCTTAACCCCCAAACCTACTTGGCTACCACGGTTTTCCTTGTTATCCTGGCAGAAGCAAAAGGAATCCCTCATCCTGGATGCAAATCTGCTGCACGGGCAGTTGCTACTACTACTCCATCTGCACCGCCTGGTGCGCTGGTCGTGTCCACCGCTGGCCAGGATGCAGCTGCACACGCTCGCAGCTCTGGCCGCTCCGATCCTCCAGCGGGACGTGTGTTCGTTCAGTGCGCTGGTGGACGTGATGGTGGCCCTCATGGAGGATGCCGTCGATCCTGGTGTGGTTAACCTTCAGCTCCTGGATCAGATCGCTGCCGTCTATCGACTGGATCACATGGTGGTCTATGCACGCTGCCAGCAGCAGGGCATCTCCATGCGTTTCTACCAGATCTTTGGCCTGCATCTGCATCGATTGCACGGCATTTGCCCCGGAATGGTGCAGCACATGGTCGAGGACCTGGCCGAACCCTTCTGGGCCCTGGACGAGCTCAAGGTCGAACTATGGCTGTACATCCTGCTGCAGCGTTGGCTGGACGCTGCCGAGAAGCAGCCGCTGGTCAGCACGCTGGATGTGGAGCACTTTCAGTTTTCGGCCGACATACGTCGCTATTACGCCACATTAAGCTTAGAGGAGCGGCAGGAGATTGGTCAGCAGCTGTATGAATCCCGGGCCATACGCTCCACCGTCCTCAAGATGATGGACAGCAAGCGCCATTGGAGTCTCCAGCTCACCGCTCGTCTGGTGGCCTTGCAACCGCTGCTCAAGGAGCCGGGATTGCAGTTGGATGAGCTGGTGCAGCGCTGCTCGTCGGCGCGGCACTCCAGTCACCAGGAGCCGGGCTTGGTGCTGGGCCTGAAACGATTGATCGGCGAACGGGGCAGACTGGAGCGCCAGCACTGGCTGCCACTGCTGAACTACGCCCTGCGGCTCGTGGAGCCCGTCCAGCCGGTCTATCTGCGTCACCAGGCTGCCCAATTGTGCCAGTTGCTCGTACGCAGCGGCTTGAAGGACCAAATTGGCCTGTGCACGGACAACGTGGACGTGGAGCTGGTCGGACGCTTTGCCAGACTGGTGCTGCTCCTGCTGCTGGACGAAGCGGAGTGGGTGCGACATTGGGCTGCCCAACTGGTGTGCAGCACTGAATTTAGGAGCGAATTTGGTGGGCAGCCGGAAGTCAAGTCAAGGGGGGACATCCTGCCCAGTGCTGTGACTTTGGAGTTCCTCAAAACGGTGGTGGGCAGTGTGGAGCAGCAAGCTGGCCAGCCGGTGTTTCTGCTGCGTCTCTTCCAACTCATCGCCGAGCCTTTCCTGGCCACCGAAGTCAGGGACGATTCCGAGCAACTGCAACTGCAGGAGGACGGCGACGTCGAGGTGTTCGACAAGCAGGAGATCAACCTGTACTGTGAGCCGCTGCTGGTGCTCTGCGAACTGGCCGCCGCCTTTCGGGCGCAGTTTGGCGACAGCGAGGAGCTGATGGCCACCATCAATGCCCTGGCACTGCCCTCTGATCTAGTTTCAATCCAAGAGCATTTGATGTGTGCAAGCTAATTCTAATATATAACTTATTGATTAAGAACCATACATAAGTTTTGATAATATTTGAAAATCTGAGTTACTTTAAAATTTTGTTTTAATCCCAAGGAATGGTTTGACTGCGATTTTTATGTTATAGTAATAAATTTAATGTATATTTCTACCAAGCTTTTAAAATGAAAGAACCTAAAACGAAATCGATTTTCATTTTGGCTTAAGAATAGTACAGGTACTCTAAATATTTATTTATTCTATTGTTTTTTGTAATATCAAAATAATAAAAAATTGAATGACTATTTTAGCCAAGCTTCATTTGAATGAAACAATCTAAAATAAAATATAACAAAAACTTTTTATCAGACTATGCCTTTATTTATTGAGAAACTATTCGCTTGGACCTTCCTGTCATTTAGCCAATCTATTAAATTTAAATAATCTATATTACTTTATTATAATATTATTATTTTATTAGCTTGATTCAGAATCGGAGGTTCTCACAAATCTCTGATTCTAACAGTGCATTCGTCAGTTAAAGGATCCAACAATGATGGCCTACTGGTTTACCTTCTGGTTTACATTCTGGTTAACATTTGCGATTTTTCGGGCTTGCGACTTTTCGGGCCTGAACACCTTTGGTGGACCCACTGGCTTTGCCACAGGACCTCGCTTGCCGGGTGGCTTTGGACTTGGTCTTGGACTTCGACTTCGACTTTATTTTGGGCTTGGGCTTCCTAACAGCCTTGCGTTTCGCGGTCCTCTTCTTGGCTGCCACCCTCGTCTTCCTGGGTGACATCCTAGCGCACTTAGGACCCCTCCTCTCGCCAGTGTTGGCCTCGAAGGTTATTGGTCTTAGATCCATTTCTCCCTTACAAATTCGCAACGACATCCCAGATGGTTTTTTGATAAAACGAAATTTTGTTAATAAAAATCGAAAAAAAAAAAACGTTACTTATAATTTTGTTCAAGTTAGTGAGAAGTGTGTGTGCTTCGTGCGAGACTACGATACGAACTGAATGTATGTTGCGCTGAGCACAGCAATGTTAAATTTGGGTTTGATTGAAGAGTCACAGATTGCTATGACCTGGTTTTTTATTGGTAACAACTACTAAAATACCTGGCTTAGGTTTTTTGTCTATACAAACAGAATACATAATGCATAATAGCGGCTTCCTTGGCAAGCCCGACGACCAGAAGAACTCTGAAACGCCTTTTAAAATTTAGGTGATGCTTTGAAAATATTATATAATATATGTACATTAACAAAATAAAATAAAAAATACTACATTTTTTAAAATTCTTTCTGTATATAACCGCTTTATATAAAGTATAAATTTCTGCAATGTTTAAAAACAAGGAAGTTATCATTTTTTGTTTGCTTTCGATTTCGCTTGAGAAAATCTGTATATAACCCCTCAATGTAAAGTATAAATTTCTGCAACATAATGTATTAATATCTGCAAATATGTTTAATAAAAAAGAAAGTTATTTTTTTATTCTATATGTTCACCTATTAGATCTTTAACCAGTTGATTTTGACTAAATTGTAACAATTTTCGAAAGTAATTATGGTTTCTCCTAAAGTTTTATAATATAGTCTTTCGATTCCAGTGCGACTTTGCACAAAAAAACGGCTAAGTATAAATATCTGCGATAAAAAGTATTAATATCTGCAAATATGTTTAATAACAAGGAAGTTATCATTTTTTGTTCTATGTGTCTACTACTACATCTTTAGCCATTTTATTTTGACTAAATTCTAACTATTTTCGATCGGTAATAAATCGAAAGCAATTTTCGAAAGTAATTAATTGTTGTTCTGGCAGTTTTATAATATAGTCTTTCGATTGCAGTGCCACTTTAAACAAAAACGGCTTTCGCTTGAGAAAATCTTTAATATAAAGTATAAATTTGTGTGATAAAAAGTATTAATATCTGCAAATATGTTAAAAAAAAAGGAAGTTATCATATTTTGTTCTATATGTTTACCTATTAAATCTTTAGCCTTTTGATTTTGACTAAATTGTAACTATTTCCGATCGGTAATAAATCGAACGCAATTTTCGAAAGTAAATAATTGTTTCTCTGACAGTTTTATAATATAGTCTGCCGATTCCAGTGCCACTTTGCACAACAAAAAACGGCTTTCGCTTGAGAAAATCAACACTTTTTATTGAAATATAAAACTAAATACGTGGCTCAGTCGATGTGATAAACAGACACCGGGAGGGCAGCATCGCCCTACCGATTGCGAGGCGCAACTTAGCGGCGGATATCCGTACCGAAGGACCAAGACGAGCCGGCAGGGGTGGGGGAGGGGAGGGGAAATGGCGTTCGATCCGAGCCTACGAGATGAACGTGGAATTGTCGCCATTGGCAGTGACCGGGGCGAACTGGACGAGCGCCTTGATGCGGCGCAGCAGCGAGGCGTTGAAGCCCCTGCACTTGGTGGCGTAGTCCTCGCTGGCCGTGATTAGCTGCGTGCAGAAGGTCTCGTTGAAGGTGGAGATGAGCAGCTGCTTGAGCTGCAGGATCTCGTCCTGCGAGGCATTCAGCACGGACACATTGCCGATGCCGTTGCCGTTGTCCAGGAGGCTCTCGTTGATGGCGTTGCGGTTCTCGTTGGCATAGACGACGGCGTTGCGCAGGTAGAAGTCCAGGTGGATCCACAGCAAGTACAGATTCTGCTCGGCAATGAAGACGGCCTGCATCAGTTCGCTGCGCTTCTCGTTGTGCCGCTGGCTCAAGTCCAGATAGCTTTGCTTGCCTGTGCATTATATCGGGTTTAATTATGGCCACACAAGTGGATTGCGATTGGGATAGACAACTCACCATTGGGACCAAAGCTGATGTTCGGCAGGGAGGCGCGCTGCTGCAGCAGATTGTCGGCAATGGACTTCTGCGAGAGGTAGTAGCCGATGGAGCCCTTCAGCTGGTTGAGGATGGTGTGCATGACGGCCGTCAGCTTCTTACTGTCCACTTTGCCAGTCCTGTGAATGATATAGAAAGACATTTCAATAAATAAGATATATAAGGACATAAACAATAAACAATAAGCTATTAACTTATTTTTAAACTGGGAAGGTTTATTAAAGTAAACATCAATGGTTTTTAAAGATTTGGATAAGAAATGCACCCTATCTCTTGAAGAAAAAACGCTTTCAAGACAGGGACTGTAAATATTTATTAATTCTATTGTTTTTTGTAAACAAAATCCATGACTTAAAATCGAAGCGCCAAGTTGATCCTCTTTGGTCAATCTATCCAATTCTTTAAGACTCTTAAATGAATGGAAATATTCTTTTGAAATAATATTTATTTTTGAAAAAAATGTATATATAAAAAAATAATGATTAAGCAATAATAATAACAAAATAAAACTAATTTGGGAACTGATAATAGTTTTGAGTATGCCCCTGTTGCGTATCCTTAGCTACCACTTCAAAAAACAAAAAAAATAACTTTTCAAAATATTGGTTATTATAAAACATCATATACAAATAAAATTGTTCGAGAATATCGTCGAAACTCTGCACACAAAAACCGCATTTGCAAAATAAGTTGTATTTTACTTGTACAACAAAAAAAACATTAATAATTCGTTTTTTAAGTTTTATTTTGAGCAAAATAACATATTTGTTTATATCCATGATTAAGTGTTTTTTAAATTATCGAAAAAATCAAAGAATTTTTTATTTTTTGCTCAAAAAAAATTATTGTTCTTGAAAAGTATTTCGAAAGTCTTAAAAAAAAAATTATTTTGTGATTTTAAATATGAAACGTATGAGAACGTTCCCTGTTTTTATATAATTAATATGGGGACTTCCAAAAAACCTCTTCGAATCAATTCAAAGTCTGAAAAAATGTACTTTAGCACACAGAACGAACAACTACAAATTCTCCATAGACAAAGACAGTCAAACCTGATTTGATGTGTGCAAGTTAATATTAATATACAACTTATTGATTAAGAACCATTCGTTTTTATAGCAAGAAACTCAAATGTTTAAGAAACCAATTGAAATGTGTTACAAAAAAGTTTTTTATTGCATTTGTGTTTAACTTATTTGTTAAGCAATATAGACAAGGTTTCAAGTTAGAAATGAATAAATATTGTACATACAATTTGACTACATGATGTTTTTTATGTATTATTATATGTATAAGTAATTATTATATGTATAGGTAATAATAATATTAATCATTTATTATAACATAAGACACAAAATATATTATGGCAAAATATGTTTCTGTAAAAAATGTAGAAAAAATAAATTATAAACTGAATTATTTATTTTGAAATTTTTCCAGATTGGAAAACGATATCCTTGAGTACCGATGTTAAGAACGGACTCAAAACGTGAAATAGAAAGAGACAGCAGCACAAACGAAACGGAAATACTTCAAATACTCCAAACCCTTTATTATTTTCATAAGAACCTAATCTTGTTTATACCTATTAAATACATTCATGTTTAAAAAAAATGGTTACGGGAAAAACGCGTTTAAAAATTTAAATCCCAATGAAGCCATGAAAACACTTTGTATGTAAGAACATATTTGATATTTGATAAGCGCAATGGCTTGTCTACTTTTTGCCTACCTCTAGTTTTAAATGTAAAGGGAACTTCGAAAAGTTTAGAAAATATTCTAAAATCTGAGTTACTTTAAAATTTGTTTTAATCCCAAGGAATGGTTTGACTGCGATTTTTATGTTATAGTAATAAATTTAATGTATATTTCTATCAAGCTTTTAAAATGAAAGAACCTAAAACGAAATCGATTTTCATTTTGGCTTAAGAATAGTACAGGTACTGTAAATATTTATTAATTCTATTGTTTTTTGTAATTTCAAAATAGTAAAAAATTGAATGACTATTTTAGCCAAGCTTCATTTGAATGAAACAATCTAAAATAAAATATAACAAAAACTTTTTATCAGACTATGCCTTTATTTATTGAGAAACTATTCGCTTGGACCTTCCTGTCATTTTGCAAACTATTAAATTTAAATAATCTATATTACTTTATTATAATATTATTACTTTATTAGCTTGATTCAGAATCGGAATTGGACCCTTCCTGGCATGAGACATCGACTTGTTCCCAGGAGGTTCTCACAATTCTCTGATTCTAGCAGTGCATTCGTCAGTTAAATGATCCAACAATAATGGCCTTCTGGTTTACCTTCTGGTTAACATTCTGGTTTACATTTGCGATTTTTCGGGCTTGCGACTTTTCGGGCCTGAACACCTTTGGTGGACCCACTGGCTTTGCCACAGGACCTCGCTTGCCGGGTGGCTTTGGACTTGGTCTTGGACTTCGACTTCGACTTTATCTTGGGCTTGGGCTTCCTAACAGCCTTGCGTTTCGCGGTCCTCTTCTTGGCTGCCACCCTCGTCTTCCTGGGTGACATCCTAGCGCACTTAGGACCCCTCCTCTCGCCAGTGTTGGCCTCGAAGGTTATTGGTCTTAGATCCATTTCTCCCTTACAAATTCGCAACGACATCCCAGATGGTTTTTTGATAAAACGAAATTTTGTTAATAAAAATCGAAAAAAAAACGTTACTTATAATTTTGTTCAAGTTAGTGAGAAGTGTGTGTGCTTCGGGCGAGACTACGATACGAACTGAATGTATGTTGCGCTGAGCACAGCAATGTTAAATTTGGGTTTGATTGAAGAGTCACAGATTGCTATGACCTGGTTTTTTATTGGTAAAATACCTGGCTTAGGTTTTTTGTCTATACAAACAGAATACATAATGCATAATAGCGGCTTCCCTGGCAAGCCCGACGACCAGTAGAACTCTGAAACGCCTTTTAAAATTTAGGTGATGCTTTGAAAATATTATAAAATATATGTACATTAACAAAATAAAATAAAAAATACTACATTTTTTAAAATTCTTTCTGTATATAACCGCTTTATATAAAGTATAAATTTCTGCAATGTTTAAAAACAAGGAAGTTATCATTTTTTGTTTGCTTTCGATTTCGCTTGAGAAAATCTGTATATAACCCCTCAATGTAAAGTATAAATTTCTGCAACATAATGTATTAATATCTGCAAATATGTTTAATAAAAAAGAAAGTTATTTTTTTATTCTATATGTTCACCTATTAGATCTTTAACCAGTTGATTTTGACTAAATTGTAACAATTTTCGAAAGTAATTATGGTTTCTCCTAAAGTTTTATAATATAGTCTTTCGATTCCAGTGCGACTTTGCACAAAAAAACGGCTAAGTATAAATTTCTGCAAAATAATGTATTAATATCTGCAAATATGTTTAATAACAAGGAAGTTATCATTATTTTGTTCTAAGTGTTCACCTACTACATCTTTAGCCATTTTATTTTGACTAAATTGTTTTCGATCGGTAAGAAATCGAAAGCAATTTTCGAAAGTAATTAATTGTTGTTCTGGCAGTTTTATAAAATAGTCTTCCGATTGCCGTGCCACTTTAAACAAAAACGGCTTTCGCTTGAGAAAATCTTTAATATAAAGTATAAATTTGTGTGATAAGAAGTATTAATATCTGCAAATATGTAAAAAAAAAAGGAAGTTATCATTTTTTGTTCTATATGTTCACCTATTAAATCTTTAACCTTTTGATTTTGACTTAATTGTGACTATTTCCGATAATTGTTTCTCTGACAGTTTTATAATATAGTCTGCCGATTCCAGTGCCACTTTGCACAACAAAAAACGGCTTTCGCTTGAGAAAATCAACACTTTTTATTGAAATATAAAACTAAATACGTGGCTCAGTCGATGTCATAAACAGACACCGGGAGGGCAGCATCGCCCTACCGATTGCGAGGCGCAACTTAGCGGCGGATATCCGTACCGAAGGACCAAGACGAGCCGGCAGTGGTGGGGGAGGGGAGTGGAAATGGCGTTCGATCCGAGCCTACGAGATGAACGTGGAATTGTCGCCATTGGCAGTGACCGGGGCGAACTGGACGAGCGCCTTGATGCGGCGCAGCAGCGAGGCGTTGAAGCCCCTGCACTTGGTGGCGTAGTCCTCGCTGGCCGTGATTAGCTGCGTGCAGAAGGTCTCGTTGAAGGTGGAGATGAGCAGCTGCTTGAGCTGCAGGATCTCGTCCTGCGAGGCATTCAGCACGGACACATTGCCGATGCCGTTGCCGTTGTCCAGGAGGCTCTCGTTGATGGCGTTGCGGTTCTCGTTGGCATAGACGACGGCGTTGCGCAGGTAGAAGTCCAGGTGGATCCACAGCAAGTACAGATTCTGCTCGGCAATGAAGACGGCCTGCATCAGTTCGCTGCGCTTCTCGTTGTGCCGCTGGCTCAAGTCCAGATAGCTTTGCTTGCCTGTGCATTATATCGGGTTTAATTATGGCCACACAAGTGGATTGCGATTGGGATAGACAACTCACCATTGGGACCAAAGCTGATGTTCGGCAGGGAGGCGCGCTGCTGCAGCAGATTGTCGGCAATGGACTTCTGCGAGAGGTAGTAGCCGATGGAGCCCTTCAGCTGGTTGAGGATGGTGTGCATGACGGCCGTCAGCTTCTTACTGTCCACTTTGCCAGTCCTGTGAATGATATAGAAAGACATTTCAATAAATAAGATATATAAGGACATAAACAATAAACAATAAGCTATTAACTTATTTTTAAACTGGGAAGGTTTATTAAAGTAAACATCAATGGTTTTTAAAGATTTGGATAAGAAATGCACCCTATCTCTTGAAGAAAAAACGCTTTCAAGACAGGGACTGTAAATATTTATTAATTCTATTGTTTTTTGTAAACAAAATCCATGACTTAAAATCGAAGCGCCAAGTTGATCCTCTTTGGTCAATTTATCCAATTCTTTAAGACTCTTAAATGAATGGCAATATTCTTTTGAAATAATAATTATTTTTGAAAAAAAATGTATACATAAAAAATAATGATTAAGCAATAATAATAACAAAATAAATCTAATTTGGGAACTGATGATATTTTTGAATATGCCCCTGTTGCGTATCCTTAGCTACCACTTTAAAAAAAGAAAAAATAAAAAAAATAACTATAAAACATCATATACAAAAAAAATTGTTCGAAAATATCGTCGAAACTCTGCACACAAAAACCGCATTTTCAAAAAAAAGTTTTATTTTACTTGTATAAAAAAATAACTTTAATAATTCGTTTTTTTAAGTTTTATTTTAAGCAAAACAATATCCATGATTAAGCGTTTTTTTAAGTTATCGAAAAAATCAAAGAATTTTTTATTTTTTGCTCAAAAAAAATTATTGTTCTTGAAAAGTATTTCGAAAGTCTTAAAAAAAACAATTATTTTGTGATTTTAAATATGAAACGTATGAGTACGTTCCCTGTTTTTATATAATTAATATGGGGACTTCCAAAAAACCTCTTCGAATCAATTCAAAGTCTGAACAAATTTACTTTAGCACACAGAACGAACAACTACAAATTCTCCATAGACAAAGACAGTCAATCTGCTTAAGATTTTGGGAAAAATAGATTTGTTAATAAAATTATGGCCTTAAAAACGAGGCTACCATATTAGTTTAACTTGACCTACAAATTACTTAAGGTACACGGCCTAAAGTTAGTTTTTAAGGTAATCTTTTTCCAAATAAGCATACCTATTTTTAAGGACATGTTTAGTCCATTATTCGTTAAATAAAGGGAGATATGGTTTTTAAAAACAAAAATGTTTGGTAGCTTTTGCTCTACGATATTCAAACTCTAGAAATGGCATTTGTTAAAAAATCGACTTAGTTTTTCTTGCTCGAAAATCCAACATGAAAACAAACTCGATGTACGAGTCGCTTAGACCGCTTTAGCTTTGCCAGTTTTTCTTGAAATCTTGGCCCAACGATCTCATAATATTATAGATTAAAAATGTAAAAACCCTAACCCTTAAGTAAATTTTTTTCTAAATCAAGAAGTGTTCTTCTTCTTTCACTTAGCTGGTGAAAACTTACAGCGGCGTCACGTCGTTGATCATGGTGGTGAGCAGGAACTTGGAGGTCATGCTATCCTTCACGTGGCTGGTGACCGCGTTGCGACAGTAGAGCGACAAATTGGCGGCGATGTCCAGGAAGAACTTGATGCGCAGCGTTTTGGAGCCCTCGCCTCCGGCCAGTTCGTTGCCCTCCTGTTGTTGCAGCTGCTGATGCTTCTGCTGGTGATGGTGATGGTGATTATCCTGCTCCTGGTCCTGCTGCAGCATGCGCCGAATGGTGGCCTCGCTGACGGAGAAGCGGCCAAAGACGACGATCATCAGCTGCTGCAGGCGTCCCAATCGATTGCGCAGCTCCAGATCGTTCTCCACATCGAGGCTGTCCTCCAGAGCGGTCACCTCGTGCGTATTGGTGCGGGCAAACAGATTGGTGATGGCCGCCAGCTGCTGCAGGTGACCCAGATCCATGAACGGTGTGGCCGTGCGCAGCATCGCCTCCACCATATCGATGTGGGCGAACAGAAAGTTGAGCACCTGCAAGGCAGCCGAATTGTTGCGCGATCCCAGCGAATTGATAATGGCATCGCAAAGGGCCAGTGCCGGCAGCAGGATGGCACGGAAACGCTCATCGATGGCCGGCAGAAAGTTGGGCGGCTCGTTTCGTTTCAGTTCGCTGGCCTTGAGGTCGGGCTGCAGATCGTAGACGCGCATGTTGGACAGCACGCCCAATGCCCGCTCGGCGAGCAGGAGGCGGGCGCCCACGCCCGTGTTCGCCATGCGCGTGAGGAAGGCCATCCGCGACTCGTACACGTACAGCGGACGCAGATGGTCCGGCACCGGCTGCAGGATGCCGCACAGCGCCTCGCTCGACTTGCCCAAACTATCCAGCATGTGCTTGAGGTAGCCCCGCATCGCCACGAAGTCGCACAGTGTGCTCACCGCCTCCAGTTCGGAGATCATGTCCAGGCAGGCCAGCGCCAGCATCCGGCACACATCGTGGCCGGTTACCGCATCGTGGCAAATGGTGTCGATCAGCTTCTCGCCGAACGTGCCGATCACGTCCGCGGCCATGGCCGTCAGCCGCCGGCGGTCGTCGCGTCGCACCTCCATGCTGCTCATCCGGGAGCTCTCCTGTCGGGATATCACCCTGCAATGGCATGGAATGGTTGAAACTTAGTCAGCGGCAGTACAATCAATAATCAGGCATACCAACAGTTATCACTTCTACAGTCAAGGGATTTGTTCATTTTGGCATCTTTTAATTACATTTTCAAAGCAAAGTGCATAATTTTATTTACATTTAGTAAAAGCAGGAATCAAGGAATTGCGCTACCCAAAACGTTTTGAAACGATTACATACAGTTGCGGTCGAAATAATGGTAGTGGGACTATGTAAAGTGCTAAAAATTGGATGTTTAACAACCTCTGACATTTTTACGTTTTTCAAGAAAAATGAATTCATTGCCATATATTGTAGTAACTAATTGTATGACAATTTAAGAAAATAACTACAAATTTACGATTCATCAGAGCTTTGTGTTGGAAAAAAAAATGTTTTCAACATCTCATATATTTTTATTTACTATTTATTATTTATTTAATATTTTAATGAAGCTAGATTATAAAAAAAAAATTAAAGTGCTTATTTCGACCTATTTTCTACTGCTTTATCAATATACTAAAAAACTA